CTTTACATGTATACTTTATGAATAAAGAGTTTGAAAATAATTGTTTAAAAATTCATCATTACATTCCTATTATAAAATAAAATTCCCTGTTGCGTCTGTTTGTCTGTCAGTCTGAATAAAATAATCTTCACCAATAGACAGAGATTCATTTCATTTATTTATTTCGTACACAATGTGTGAGAAAATGAATTTTCAAAATTTTATTTTGCTAATTATAAATTATATTAACAGTTATTCAGCTATTTGGGGAGGAGACAAATCCAAAAAAAACATTTCAAGAAAATCGGTACAGCCAGCCATTTTGAGTTATAAATGGTGTGACTAACCCAAGTTACACCATTTAGCTGAATAACTGTTAATATATTTTTTTTTGTCTTATTTAAGATTAATATTATCAAGAAAATATTTTTTTATAATTTAAAAACCTACATATTTCCAATATTAGTAAATTATATAAAATAATTATATGAAATATAGTAATTTTAAGTAAAATATCATAGTGTCGTTACATTCATTTTTTAAAGCAATAATCAACATCAGACCACATTGCTTCTAATTACGTCGTTTACTTTCAAATAATAAAAGCGTGCGTTTTTTATATCAATGTACGTAGAAAGTGTATTAGAAACTGTATTTTATTTTTTTAATTTAATATACTAGCCCGTTTGTTTAACTTACGTGTTCATTTTAAGAAGAATTTTATTTAAGTAACGTCTTTTAAAGAAAAATCCGCTCTAGAATGTATATGTTGAGAGGACTTTACAGATATTGTAACGGACTTAAGAAGTCACGCAGAACACTCGGGAGAGCTATTTGTGGTTTACATAAATTTTTGATATATTTGAAAATTAAACCCTAAAAAAGTTTTAAGCGAGCAAAGTCGCAAGCAAAAGCTAGAGGTACTGATTTCAACAGGCGGCTCGAACTCAGTCAAAACCCTGTCGAGAACCACTGTCAGACACAATATAGGTTGACCACAGACGTAAGATGAATCCCTTGATATGTTTACCTACCAAAAGGGAATGAGATCTATCAAGAACACGACATGAAGAAAATGAAAGACTCGCAATCAAACATTGAAATTACACTGACAAAGGCATTTTTATGCAACAAAATTTAATTTTTATTTGCACTCTGAGCTTTAATTTATTTTTGTTTATGCAAATATTTGGCTATTTAAAGATATATTCAATTAAGACTATTTAAAATAAATATATAATTTGATAACTATGCGACCATGTTACCAAGCGATGATCAAATTTTTATTTAAAAAAATTAAATTTGTGTGATAGCTAATATAAATACACTCACTATAGATACAATCCTCTTATTTTAGTAACGTGTTTAATTAGGTAATAATTAGATAAGACCACTTTTGCAATGAGAAAACCGCGGTGAGAAACTTTGTGAGTTTTTTTCATGTAATCCTTTTAATAGCACATACATTTACAAGAAATACTGTTGTATTTTGTATATTGTGTAGGAGCCCGTGGCTAAGTTGTAACCGAGTAGTTTCACACATTGCAAAGTAAAGCAACCCTAGCCAGGTCAGTCTATCGATTGATGACCATTTTCATAACACATAACTCCGTGCTTCGGAGAGTACGTTATGCCGTCTGTCTCGGTTGCCATAAAACATCTGAGGCAATCGTATGTGTTGTTAGAGCCCTAAAAAGTCAACAGTCTTTCCATAGAACTTCGATATCGCCTAGTACTTGGGTAGAGGTCTGATGGCAGTCGCACCACGTAGAAAAAGAAAAAAGCCGACCTCAACCTAGTATGGGGAATAGGCTCAGAGGAAGAATGTTGTATTGTGTGTCCGATAACAACTAAGAATGGCTTTTTGTTATGGTTAGTGTTATGTTTGTTAGCGTCAGATTTTTTACTAAGAGCTATTATTACTTGTTCATATCAGATTCACTTCATATCAAACAATTATGTATTAAGTAAGCATCTATTTCCCTTTCCGGTTTTAAAGTATATTTATGTAACAAGATATCTAAAGAGTTTTATTGACATTTAATGTTTATGTAAAATATCAGGTATATGTTACGTGAACTGTTATCGATTGCCAATTAAAAAGCATACGTTTAAAATATGGTATCGGTATTAAAGGTAACAAAAAAAAATCCTCAAAGTTTCGTTAATATATCTAAAATAATTGTACAATGTATAAGTGTTAGATAGATTTATTTTCGGGAATTAGATTCCGATATTTCGGCACTGTTGCAAGCGCCATGGATAAACTCAGTTCATTCGTGATCATGGATCATTTAAAATAACTTATCTAGTAAAAATGATCGTAGTAGTTTGAATTAAGTGTAATATTTTTACACTATTTGCTTATCATCATCATCTCAGCCGAAAGAAGTCCACTGAAGGACCTAGACCTCCCCCTAGTCTATGGTATTATTACCCACAAACAACGGTATGTCTTAGTCTATGGTATTTGCCTATACCATAGACTAAGTTAAAACTGTTTTAACCTTTGGAATAATTAAGGAACTAGTTCCGCAGCCTTTGTCTCAGCACTATGCCCGATCTCTATATTCTCGCGGTACTGCCGCTCTGTGCAACATCGTAGCATCTGAACAATAGGATGATTAGCAAATAACTCGTATCATGCAACCAACATTCTTAACTCCTCTCTTTTCCGACCAATTCTGAGCTGTGTTACTAATACATACATCACTTTTTGACGTGAAGTATTTATTAAGAATCATTCATTTAAATGTACTTACCTATATTTTTTCAAAATATGTATATTTTTTTGGTTAGAGGCATAATTGTAAAATTCAGATTTTTTATATTTTAAATAGGATAAGTTTTATGAATTCATTTACACTCCTAACACGTAGTTTAGATAATTACGGATTTTCCGTAACAATCTGGCAATTCCTTATAGGAACTTCCTGCTAGTAAATTTAAAAAATAACTAAAGCGTTGATTACTGTAGATAGCATTCCATTCAGTATCAGAAATGCTTAATTAATGTGAAAAATGCATTATTAAATTTTAATATACTATGTGTTACGTTTAAAAAATGTTATTCATTTTACAACAATTTTGCTATTAACCTCTACATTGAATAATTCAGATATATCATCAATTTCCAATTTTATGTTAGGCAAATAAAAATTTCAATTCGAATTCCTATCACTACTATGTGTAGTAAAAGACAGGTGTTGACAGATGTAACCTGGTTAAGCAGACACCTGGCAATTAAAACTTAAACTTAAACTGTTTGATAAACCGTAGCCCAAACCATAATTCGAAAAGACTATCGCAAGCTTTTGGATAATAGAAACTATTTACTTAATACCAAGTGATTAAATCAAACATTATGCCTCATGCTCATTGTCTTATGAATAAAAAGCACCCTTAGAGTATCCGTAGCATGCGTAATTTAACTGCATGTATGCTTTTTGCCAGAAAAAGATATAGATATTATATTAAAATGCAACGTGCAATTAAATACACAATCATATAAATTACTTTGTTTTACACAATTTGCTACAATTAACTTGTTAAATCCCCATGTATGTTAAAACTTCTAAAAGCATATTTATTTTTTATAAAATTTAACATAGAGTTAGGTTCAACGGAGGTTGTTGTGACCTCGACTTGTTATTAATATCGTAAGGGAGCGGCGAATATAGCAACTAACAGATTTAAAGCACGAAAATTTTACATGTTAGCGGTTAACGTCATTTAAAATCTGTTACCCTGATCAACGCAAATAATAACGTTTTTGGGCTATAAATGTAACAAAGGAATGGTCGAATAAGAATGATCAAAAGTAAAATAAAACTGTTTAACAGTCGAAAAGATAATTGTTTGTTCACTGAGAAAGAACCTTACGACGCAGGAATAAATATAAAACCTGTATATAAGATAACAATTAAACAACACTAACAATGATATGTTATCCTGTTCGCAACAAGTATTGCGAGTGTTCATAGGCGGAAGTAATCGCAATTTTATTACTGTTTGCAAAATTTGTTTCCAACTGTTGTTTATACATCTATAGCGAACTTCGTGGAGGAACCAAAAGACAGAAAGTAGACCAGTCACCTGGTGGTAAAATGGATATAAAACAATAACTGGATTTACAATATAATAGGCGATAAAGATGGAGATTGAATCCAAAAAAACGATTGTTTGTCTATTCTCCCACAATAATTAGATCTACGTTATTACCTCCTTTCTAAAGAGGCCTATGTCCAGCAGTGGACTAGTAAAGGCTGTTGATAATGATGATGATTATCCAAAACAAGGAAAAAAACATGTTCTGTATTACGAGAGAGGATCCATACCTTGCGTCCCCATAACTCTTTAATTTAGTTGGGTCAAATGAAAAACCTTGTTTCAGCAAGTGTTCTATAACAAAAAACTGGGTATCCGTAGATATAAAAAAAGTAAGCAATGAAAATATAAGAAATCGTCTTCGAGTATAAACTGAGAAAGGTGAAAGTTATGTGGCCTGCAACGTTTGATGACAAATATGTGCATAATAGCTCTCATTTAATAAAAATTATTAAGCAAATGGGCAGAATAGAACGGCCGGACGAATTAGCCAAATTTTTTACTTTAAACTCTTTAAGTTTTTTATACACATACATACATGGAACGTTGACAACAGTAAAAAATATAATAGCAATTCAGAGATATATATTTCTATATACTGTCTTTTTGTTTGCCGTGATGAGTTTAAGAGCAAAGATATAAAGAACACAAAAGAATACACTTATGATCAATTTATGGACTCAAACGTATTATATGTGTGCACATGACCAAAGATTTTGACGTAAAGACATTATAAGAATGCGAAGTGATTAGCGGGAACAAGCGAGTGGAAACAATTATCATTACAGTCAATACACAATTAGCGCTAGGTAAAAATAACGTAGTTGTTATTGAATATAAGGAAATGCCAAGGCTCATTTGTCTAAACAGGTAACTTCAAACATTACTGATACTTGTTTCGGGCAGGAGGATCAATGGTTTTGTGGGTTTCCCATCCCATGTGGGGTTCAATGGTGGACTTGGTATCTTTTGATACCCTATTTCCTGAAAGAAAGGTAGTTTTCTACTTATAATCAATCATAACAAAGGATACTATGGAACATTCATTTTGTTGTTAAAATATAAAGACTGCATAATATTAAATAAAAATAATGAAATATTAAACTTTTTTATATCTACATACATCTACTCGAAATATAAACCAACACAAAAATACATAAAAATAATAGCAACCTAAACAGACAGCTATTAAACAGATAACAAGATTCTTGTATGCCAAAGTTATTTGGACACAAATTTTAGATATAGAAGCGTACAAAATAAATACAAGGTTTGTTTCGTAACATAGTTTTCTTAATATACTAAATATACAGTATAAGGAAGTCGTTTTAGTAAATATATTAACGAGGTAAATTTATTATAAAACAGTATTAATTATAATTTTAAAATAATACATTATAACCGCCTCTAAGTTACAATGAAAACTATTTCGATTATTATTTTTAACTAATAATCTTGACAAAATGTTGGCATGATTTTATTCCGTTAGGATTGTTGCTGAATTCCAACGGATTCCGAGTTGAAGATCGGGACCTTATCCATTTTCTTCGTCAATACCTGGGTTACTACCTTTAAACCTGATAATAACTTATGAAATATTTTAATGGTAATCGCGGTATTAAATTAGTAATTAACATAAGTCTGTAAATAAAATAATGCTAAGTTAAGGTAATGCACAATATTGTAATAACTATAATATTCTGTTTATATTAGTTTTTCGTTTTAAAATGAGTCCTTATGTTGGTTAATTATAATACAGGAAAAAGGAAAGAAATCATAAAGTATAGAATCATCAAGGATCAAAAGATTAGGACTAATATAATTTCTTTGCACTCGGAGATAATTTTATTTACTATGTATAGTAAGACAAACTATTGTCGTCCTTCAATCGATACTACAGGATTTGTTTTAAGAGCCGTGTCAAAGGGCTTCTTGTTCTACAGAGTAAAAAGTCTATGACACGTCATACTGTTAACTCTGAAGTACATGAAGCCGTTTGACGTGTCTGTGCTAGCGACGTCTGATTTCATGATATACGCGTACGCGACACTGGCTTTTCTGAGTTACTGCAGTGTTAGTCCCGTTGTCCCAGACGGGACTTATCGGTATCCCTTACCCTGAAACCCTTTCCCTATCAGTTTTCTTTACCTCAATTAACATCTTCTTAAAAATGATATTCTCAAGAAGGGTCTGAGCCAGCCAAGCGGTTGGCCAAAAACGCTTTGCAATGTTACACAATGCGACGGCCGCGTTTCGATACATATGTAAACGTTATTTCCTAGAAATTTTACTTAAACATTATAGTTTTACATGTTAAAATGGCAATGGCCTTACTCCATAGGCTGTGTAAGGTCACGCTGCCAAGGCCAACGCGAAGCACGCAATTAGTGGTTTCATTCGTTAGGCTTCATATTAACACCCATCCACCATTTTTTAACAAGCAAACACATTCAATGTAAACAATGAAATAGTAAGTATTTCCATAACAAATCTGCTCAACTATTTTTGTCTTTGAGCTGTATCTAAAAATTAGAAAACAATTACCAGGAAGATGGAATTAAACAATTCTTTACAAGTGAAGTTAATGTGTAACACGATGGCAAATGTTTGAGATTTTTAAGCAACAACTGGCTAAAAAAGAAACTAAACTAACTTTAACTATAATTATACGGCATGTATTATAAATATGTATGTGACTAGAAAATGCAAAGATGAAATAACCAGTCAAACATGCATAAAAATTTGGGAACTTTACGGATATGAATATTAATAAAATAAAGAGTGACTGACTGGCCGGTGTTGGTCTAGTAGTTAGTGAACTGGATTTCTAAGCCAGATATCATTAGGGTATGATTCCCAAACAGGATAAATATTTGCGTGATAAGGACGAATATTTTCTTTAGGTCAAGATGTGGTTCAGAGCTACAGGGTTTATACTTAAAAACAATTTTAATGAATGCAAAACCTTTAAGGACAGTAAATAGATTAATTCACAAATTGTAAGTCAAGTAAAACGTCCGAACATTACTATACGTCTCGTTGAATTTATAGTATTGGAAGTAGTAACATAACCTGTAAATGTATTTTGGAAATCTTAGAAAACAATATTTAGTTAATTTTCTTTGTTTGGTTAGTAAGTTGCCCGTGTTAATGGGACAATTTAATTTATCATTTCTTCAAACTACAAAATGTGGTCGTGTAAAATTCTCTTGATAAAAAGTGTATCGTAATTTAGTCAGATGTTTAAAATAATTTGAAGCTAATCAATTAAAAATGTATTTCTCAGAAACTGCTTTAACAGTTTCATGAATATTTCTATACTTTTCTAAGTTTGTTTCACACTGCGATAACCTTTATATCAATGACCTATTTATACCTCAATGGTGCAGTGGTTAGCGTATGCGACTGCTGTGCTGAGGGGGGTTCGAGTCCCGAGTCGGACCAAATGTCTGTATGATCTGCAAATATTTGTTTCGGATTTTGGGAGTTTTCTATAATAGGTATGTATTTACAAAAAAGTATATAAGTATTCTATCAGCCAATCTAGCTTTTATAGTACAAGTTCTACTTAGTTTGAAGCTAGATGGCGTTGTGTGTTAGACGTCCGATAATATTATTATTAAAACTACCGCCTTCCAGGAACTTCTAGATACTAGTAAAACTAGTACAAATGCAAAAAACACAAGGCAAAACCATGTCAACTGATAACTACATCTGATATATTTTTATTGACATGTTTAATTAAGGACATTATAAATCCTAGACCAAATTAATTTACAGTTACTGTTTAATAAACTTAATACGTTTTGAAACCTAAGAGTGTGGAGAGTTTTTACATTTTTACCAAAAATGTTACCGATATAGTGTATCACAGATAAAATTGACAAACACCAAGTTTGCACAAGTGTTGAGTAATATCATATTACTGAACAAATCTATATTGTCAAGAAAGAACTTTCACACTTCATTTTGTAAGACATTTTCTACAATTAATTTGTATTACTCTCGTTTATAGCCAAAGTTTTTTAAACCTCCTGACACATCTCACACACGGCTCGGCCGTCTGATCCCAAACTAGGCACAGCCTGTGCTATCGTAATCCGAAACATACTTATATATTTTTTAAATACATACATATTATAGATAAATTACACCCAGACACAGAACAAATGACCGTGCTCATCACACAATATTTGTCCTTGGCGGGAATCGAACTAACGACCTTCGGATTAGCAGTCAGGGTCACTAACCACTAAACTAACACTCCCGTCAACTGTAAATAGAAATTAAACGGTATGTAAAAGATTTTTTTGAAGAATTTTCTATACAAAAGGAAATGTATCACTATTTCTGATTAACACTAGAGTGCACGCGCGGGCTACATATGTAACCCAGCGTGTAATATTGTCGTATATAATTTTTGTTTGCCGCGCTACAGCGCAATCGTCTAATGTATTCCTCAAGCATTACCCCCCGCTCCCGCCAGTAGCGTGCCGACTCCCGCGGCTCACGGACGTCTGCAAAAATCGCCCTTGAAGTTGGTGGGCTACGCCTGTAGCCCGCGCGAGCGTTGGAGGAAATTAAGTGTTTAGTGTGCAAGTGGTGAAATTGAGGTAAATATGAAATAATTGTTGCAGTATTACTACAAAACGTGCTGTTAATTAATTTTTAAGTGTTTGTTATTTGTATTTATGGGTTTTTTATGTATCTTTATTCTGTTTTGTTCACTTTTTAGATGGCGGGTAACTCGAACAGATTGTGCGACCAAATACAAAGATGGCTGCTGGAGGATAATGACGACGACAACATTTCGAGCGAAAGTGAGGAAGGTCGAGAATCCGCGGAACAAAGTGGAGCGCTTGGATCTCCTCACCATTCTGATACGGAACAAGATGGCGAGGAAGACGAGGACGAAGATGAAGACGTGCATCTATCGACTTTGGCTTCCTATCAGTCTCATAATGGTACAAAATGGAGCAAGATTGCACCGCCCACTTCAAGAACCAGATCTCACAACATTTTAGTCCGTCCACCAGGCCTAGTAGGTGTAGCAAAAGACGCTAAAACGGCTCTCCTATCATTCCTGCTGTTTTATCACGCTGATATTTGGAACGTGCTTGTTGATTCAACAAATATTTATATTTGTATCATAAAAAGCAAATACCAAAGAGACAGAGATGCGTCTCATACCGACGTGATAGAAATCAAGGCACTTTTTTGATTCGGTCGGTGTGCTTTTTGCACTAGGGCTCGCGAACGTAGCACGCGCAAGCAACGCAGCAAATATATGAGGCGTATTTGTAGCGAACATCAGGCAGTCGTGTGTCCGGAATGTATGCCAATAGACTGATTTATTACCCGTTACTTTGATAATAGATTCAATTAGATTAAAATAAACGCCTTTTGTGATGAATATTACGTTCCTAAATGAAAATAAGACTAAGAGAACTCAACCCTTCCAAATATTTGTTGATTTTTAAGAAGTTTATGTTTAAGTTTCAAATTATAATAAAGAATCTAAATGTTGTTGATTTTATGAGCCATTTTGATAAAAATAAATATGTTTAGTAATTATATGCTGTGTTTTACTCATTTTTTTGCCTTATTCAGAGAAATATTTGACCCATAAGTGGCCTACACCTGTAGCCCGCGCGTGCGCTTAAGGAGTATTTATGGGCGCGTGCACTCTAGTGTTAATTAAATATTCTAATAAAACCAATGATACCCATTACCTATGTATATGAAAAATTTGTAGTAAAATTTGTTTGAGTATAGAAAATGAATTTGGAAACATTTCTTTTGCATATTTAATTAAATGATACTGTATTTATTTATTATTATTAACACATCATGTACATTTGGTGCATTGGCGGACTTACGCCTAAGGCATTCTCTGTCAACCATTGGGTGATGCAGAGAAAACAGGAAGTACCTTGGTTACAGTTAATTTTAGACAGACACAATTTAACTATGTATACTTTATAGAAAATCACATAGGTATATACACATATACAACCCTGACATATACTACACCTATACTTGTTACACATAAGTACATAAATACAGTACAACAATACAGTACAAAGGTATTTCAATATTAATATGCAATCAAGCTTAAAAAAAGAGTAGGTAAAGAGTGACATTTGTATTCAAGTCCGTGCGAGTACGATGCTAAATCGTATAATTTGAATCAATATATTTTTATAAAGATTTGAGAAATGAATTATATCATATCGAGGTATCATTAGTACTTACTATCGTCTGTCTTCGTTTTCGCTTTAACAAAACAATTTTAATGAATGCAAAACCTTTAAGGACAGTAAATAGATTAATTCACAAATTGTAAGTCAAGTAAAACGTCCGAACATTACTATACGTCTCGTTGAATTTATAGTATTGGAAGTAGTAACATAACCTGTAAATGTATTTTGGAAATCTTAGAAAACAATATTTAGTTAATTTTCTTTGTTTGGTTAGTAAGTTGCCCGTGTTAATGGGACAATTTAATTTATCATTTCTTCAAACTACAAAATGTGGTCGTGTAAAATTCTCTTGATAAAAAGTGTATCGTAATTTAGTCAGATGTTTAAAATAATTTGAAGCTAATCAATTAAAAATGTATTTCTCAGAAACTGCTTTAACAGTTTCATGAATATTTCTATACTTTTCTAAGTTTGTTTCACACTGCGATAACCTTTATATCAATGACCTATTTATACCTCAATGGTGCAGTGGTTAGCGTATGCGACTGCTGTGCTGAGGGGGGTTCGAGTCCCGAGTCGGACCAAATGTCTGTATGATCTGCAAATATTTGTTTCGGATTTTGGGAGTTTTCTATAATAGGTATGTATTTACAAAAAAGTATATAAGTATTCTATCAGCCAATCTAGCTTTTATAGTACAAGTTCTACTTAGTTTGAAGCTAGATGGCGTTGTGTGTTAGACGTCCGATAATATTATTATTAAAACTACCGCCTTCCAGGAACTTCTAGATACTAGTAAAACTAGTACAAATGCAAAAAACACAAGGCAAAACCATGTCAACTGATAACTACATCTGATATATTTTTATTGACATGTTTAATTAAGGACATTATAAATCCTAGACCAAATTAATTTACAGTTACTGTTTAATAAACTTAATACGTTTTGAAACCTAAGAATGTGGAGAGTTTTTACATTTTTACCAAAAATGTTACCGATATATTGTATCACAGATAAAATTGACAAACACCAAGTTTGCACAAGTGTTGAGTAATGTCATATTACTGAACAAATCTATATTGTCAAGAAAGAACCTTCACACTTCATTTTGTAAGCCATTTTCTACAATTAATTTGTATTACTCTCGTTTATAGCCAAAGTTTTTTAAACCTCCTGACACATCTCACACCGGCTCGGCCGTCTGATCCCAAACTAGGCACAGCCTGTGCTATCGTAATCCGAAACATACTTATATATTTTTTAAATACATACATATTATAGATAAATTACACCCAGACACAGAACAAATGACCGTGCTCATCACACAATATTTGTCCTTGGCGGGAATCGAACCAACGACCTTCGGATTAGCAGTCAGGGTCTCTAACCACTAAACTAACACTCCCGTCAACTGTAAATAGAAATTAAACGGTATGTAAAAGATTTTTTTTAAGAATTTTCTATACAAAGGGTTATGTATCACTATTTCTGATTAACACTAGAGTGCACGCGCGGGCTACATATGTAACCCAGCGTGTAATATTGTCGTATATAATTTTTGTTTGCCGCGCTACAGCGCAATCGTCTAATGTATTCCTCAAGCATTACCCCCCGCTCCCGCCAGTAGCGTGCCGACTCCCGCGGCTCACGGACGTCTGCAAAAATCGCCCTTGAAGTTGGTGGGCTACGCCTGTAGCCCGCGCGAGCGTTGGAGGAAATTAAGTGTTTAGTGTGCAAGTGGTGAAATTGAGGTAAATATGAAATAATTGTTGCAGTATTACTACAAAACGTGCTGTTAATTAATTTTTAAGTGTTTGTTATTTGTATTTATGGGTTTTTTATGTATCTTTATTCTGTTTTGTTCACTTTTTAGATGGCGGGTAACTCGAACAGATTGTGCGACCAAATACAAAGATGGCTGCTGGAGGATAATGACGACGACAACATTTCGAGCGAAAGTGAGGAAGGTCGAGAATCCGCGGAACAAAGTGGAGCGCTTGGATCTCCTCACCATTCTGATACGGAACAAGATGGCGAGGAAGACGAGGACGAAGATGAAGACGTGCATCTATCGACTTTGGCTTCCTATCAGTCTCATAATGGTACAAAATGGAGCAAGATTGCACCGCCCACTTCAAGAACCAGATCTCACAACATTTTAGTCCGTCCACCAGGCCTAGTAGGTGTAGCAAAAGACGCTAAAACGGCTCTCCTATCATTCCTGCTGTTTTATCACGCTGATATTTGGAACGTGCTTGTTGATTCAACAAATATTTATATTTGTATCATAAAAAGCAAATACCAAAGAGACAGAGATGCGTCTCATACCGACGTGATAGAAATCAAGGCACTTTTTTGATTCGGTCGGTGTGCTTTTTGCACTAGGGCTCGCGAACGTAGCACGCGCAAGCAACGCAGCAAATATATGAGGCGTATTTGTAGCGAACATCAGGCAGTCGTGTGTCCGGAATGTATGCCAATAGACTGATTTATTACCCGTTACTTTGATAATAGATTCAATTAGATTAAAATAAACGCCTTTTGTGATGAATATTACGTTCCTAAATGAAAATAAGACTAAGAGAACTCAACCCTTCCAAATATTTGTTGATTTTTAAGAAGTTTATGTTTAAGTTTCAAATTATAATAAAGAATCTAAATGTTGTTGATTTTATGAGCCATTTTGATAAAAATAAATATGTTTAGTAATTATATGCTGTGTTTTACTCATTTTTTTGCCTTATTCAGAGAAATATTTGACCCATAAGTGGCCTACACCTGTAGCCCGCGCGTGCGCTTAAGGAGTATTTATGGGCGCGTGCACTCTAGTGTTAATTAAATATTCTAATAAAACCAATGATACCCATTACCTATGTATATGAAAAATTTGTAGTAAAATTTGTTTGAGTATAGAAAATGAATTTGGAAACATTTCTTTTGCATATTTAATTAAATGATACTGTATTTATTTATTATTATTAACACATCATGTACATTTGGTGCATTGGCGGACTTACGCCTAAGGCATTCTCTGTCAACCATTGGGTGATGCAGAGAAAACAGGAAGTACCTTGGTTACAGTTAATTTTAGACAGACACAATTTAACTATGTATACTTTATAGAAAATCACATAGGTATATACACATATACAACCCTGACATATACTACACCTATACTTGTTACACATAAGTACATAAATACAGTACAACAATACAGTACAAAGGTATTTCAATATTAATATGCAATCAAGCTTAAAAAAAGAGTAGGTAAAGAGTGACATTTGTATTCAAGTCCGTGCGAGTACGATGCTAAATCGTATAATTTGAATCAATATATTTTTATAAAGATTTGAGAAATGAATTATATCATATCGAGGTATCATTAGTACTTACTATCGTCTGTCTTCGTTTTCGGGAGTGTTTCCCTAATACCCTGAATAAGTAAAGTTTTTGCGTAGACAAATAAAAAAAATGTGAAAAAATACTAAGCATTTGTACGCAAAGCTAATAACATCAGGCTGTCCTTGGACCTACGTGTAGTAAGCTGAAGGTGGTAGTATCGATGTTGAGATCATAGGTGTAGATTAAGTGTGCTACATATAGTTTAATTTTGTACCCAAAATTTGAGGAGATAGTAGGATCTTAATGAGGAGATAGTGGTTTATCAGTGGGGCATATATTATACTATCAAAATTTACCGCTACAATTTTATTGTCACGTTTTCCTTCTTTAAATATACACACCATAAACAAACATACAAAAGAAGTGAATAAAACAATTTTAATGTTAATAAGTACAGTTAATAACGGGGATCATACTTTACTAGCACCCTGTTAACTACTTAACCGAGCGTAATATAACAAACACATCATGGTTATAAAGGAGATAGTACGCTGACCTAGTTACTATGTTTCAATTGCATGGATTTTGCATGCAACGGCGAAACTATAATTTTATTTGTAATACAAACAAATAAATTAGGTGTTGCATTTTGTATTTCTTTCTACATATTGTTTAATGAAGTATGACATAACACTGTGTAATACCAAATATAATTTTGTTTTTCAAGTTTTCTATTATTCTTTGTTCTTCAATCACATATTAAAACCAATTGATTAAGGAAAGACCAAGTATGGTGTCAACTTATTATTTCAAACAATTTTGAACAGAACTAACAGTTTTGACGTCAAAATGCGAGAATTAACGTTATTACGATTACGGGATGATATTACTTATTAAGGTATTACATATGCCTCGCAAAATTGCTTGACATTTTGTACAGGTTGCATTGGCTGTGATCAGATGGTTAACTCTTATAATTATTTTTTCTTTAGAAATATAGTTAGACGAAAATCAGTTGGCAGAAACGACGACGAAAGCCTGAGATGTCTTTAAACTGGAGGCATTATTATTATTACTATAGATGGGAACATTGGTTAAGACTATTGTAAATATAACAGCGCATTAAACAAGTACAGATAATGTACACTGGGAATGAAAGTTCACTAATGAGCATACAATATAATTAAGTATAATAAAAAATCATTAAAATTCAGCAACAAAATTAAATAACTGCCAGATTCTCTTTTGAAAACAACTAATTAAAACTGCCAGCAGGTAAACTATAACGATATTTGCTTGTAGCTCTTGCCTCATTTGCTGTAAATTGGCGTAACTCCGCTACTGTCGTATAAGTATTAAGGGGACAACTGTACAATTATAAATTTAACTCCATATCATTTAATCATTAATTTACATTAATAACTAGGCTACCCTACGTCACTACAAATCTCTCTCTCACTACAAGTTTTACTGTCAATTAGCTGTAATGCAAGTCAAAGAAGTACACTACATAACATTAAGCTCTAAAAACAAAGAAAGGAGTTATTTCCAAAAGGCAAATGTAACAACTAACAACTGCAAAAATCCGGTAGAAATAAAACTTTATGGAGACTTGTCTGGGCTTTAGTATGTGTTTGAGACCTTCGTGTAGCTTATAGCTGAATTTTATGAAATAAAACGACCTACGCCAACGAACTGAATTTATATCGTTATTTGACTATTTGCATAAATATGTATTATTGTCGTTTCAATGACGCCGTCTATTTATATTGTCTGTGTTTTTATAGTTTTAAAGCATCACCTTTAAGTGCTCTAAACAGAAATTATTATAACAGGCGATTTATTATGTATCCAACAATGTCACCGACTTCAATTGATCATTTGAAGTTTCGTTAGTTGATTTTCCTTTTTTTGGTTGGAGAGGTGATATAGTTTGATTCTTCAGTCTCGGAAATGAGTGACTGGGGAGTACATCTCCCCACTATTCTGATGGCCTCGTCTACCTTTAGACAAGGAGGTTATAAAAGGATTTAGAACGGTAAATTCGTTTGTCATATCATCGTATTTCCATTGCAATTTCCTCAAGCTAATGACGTACAAGAAAATTGGACTATTATGTATCAGGCCAGAAAATCAACGAAATCATAAATGTAATAAAATTAATCTTATTTTATATTAAACGAAGGTCGTCATCATCGATGATATAATACTCCATAATATTTTGCATAAAGATAATTCCCTTATTTTTTCTATTATCGAGATAACATAACAATCAAAGTATATTTATTTTGTTAGCCTTCTTACCAACAACTTTAATAAAAACAATAATGTCGTTTTATTATATAGGAGTTCTCATTGATTTTAAGAAATTTCTCTGAACGATGTATGTCACACGCTTATTAAGGCTTAGGCAGATCCCCGTGACACGGAACTGCATTTTACACTTTCAATACAAGTTTTACAGTTTGTATACAAAACACGTACATACTACATACTGACAAAGTCTCTCCGCGACGACAAGACTGACGTGTGTGAGATTCGACTTAGCTTTGCCCAATCGGACGTTAAATGAATATTGCAATCATACATTGTCCATTACTCAGTAACAGTAACGTAGTTATCTATGTTTTTTATGATTTTTTTATTAGCGAGTACTCATCAGCACAGAATACATAATATATGATTTCGCAATGAAAATACTAATTAATCACATTTATTGCAGTAACAACTTTACTCTGTTGATTGCTAATTAAAAAAAAAAAGAATCCTGTGATCAGTAAAAGCAGACAGTTTTAGCGTATTTACATTTGAAAGTACGGGCTTCAATTAAAAATACACGTACCTCTAATGCTCATTAAAATAGTTGAGTAGTTCAAAGCAAATATTTTATACAATATCTTGGAAATCCCCTAATCGATAAAATGTCAGTTGTGTATTTGACGTCCCACATATACTAACTCGTTTCTCGGAACTAAAAGGTTGGAGTCTTTGTTCGACACCTATAACGAAACCTTGCACAACTTATAAGTAGTCGAATTTTCACGCCACAACAAATTAAGAGAAGCTTAATAATAAAGGCTTTGCTATAATATCCGGTTTAGCTTTAGATGAAGTAGCCATTCGAATGTAATACTAATTTTGTGTGAAATAACAATCTTGACGTCATACTTAGCTGTCGTCAAATCATTTTCTTTTCATGTGTGTGTACTTATATTTAAAAATAATAACGATTTTTTGTTATACTCATACAAGATTTAATTTCTTGAAGATTATGAACTACCAACCTCACTTGATCCAAATATCACAAACCAATTCCAAATCTAAAACATAATTTGTTTATGTGAAATCCCTTTTCACAACTAAACGTAACGGTCACGTTCCTCCGGTGTTTCATCATATCATTTACCACATTGCTCAAATAGTTTTACCATCTATTGAGGTATCGCGGCAGAACTGTCTGTTGTCACCAGATGGTGAAAATATATAGGTTTATCGCGCATATGATGTCCAATAACTCAAATAAATTAATCCCCATTATTCCTTTATGACATTATTGTGACATCACTTTAAAAATTAATGATCAAACCTATTATTGATCAAATATATAATAAGTGTAGTATTCGTGCAGACAGACTACATTAAACTCGTCTTTTGGACAATTTTAAAACACGTATTTTAATGTGTCCACTTTATAGACTTATATTTCCAGGTGAAATATAATTTATTGGTTATTATAATACTTTCTCTTACGATTTACATACCTATACGTGACTGAGTCCATGTATGCGTCAACTTTATTCAAGTATATTTTAATAACAATATCAAGTGCAAACCAATGAAATGAGATAAGTACAACAATTACAATGGCTATTGAACTGGAATATAGAAGTAAGATTGTAACGGTTATTGACGCAATGGTATGTAAAAAATAGTATAATAAATTATTACAAGTTACAGAAAAGGCTTAAAGATAGTATCTTCAGACTGATGAGCTCGTCACGAAATTTTCGATTATCC